CAGGCAATAATCAAGATTTGTTGTTTTCTTTCTACTTCCTAAGTGAGTCAGGACTTTCTGGCCAACCTAGTATATATATATATATATATATATATATATATATATATATATATATATATATATATATATACTATAGTTCAAAAGTTTGAGGACACCCCTAGTATTTTTTTTTTTTAAATTGGACCCAAAAGTATTTGTTTTGTACTTTAAATAAGAAAATTATCATGATTAGAAAAAAAAAAAAGACACACATGATTTTTTATTGGAAATTTTATTATGATAAAAAGAAAAAAAAGCATTTTATGATTAAATTTATCTCTGGTCAAAATATCCTCCTTTAGCCTTGATTACTGCAGCACAAAAGTTTGGCGTTCGTTGGAAAAGTTTCTCAAAGTATAAGTTTGATAAGTGATTCAATCCTTTCTTTTGAATGACTCTAAGAGCTCTTTTTTTTTTTTTTCATTCTTCTGTCAAGTTCCAACCATGTTCATTCTGTCGGTCGCTTAAAACTTTTTGAACTGTAGTGTATATATATATATATATATATATATATATATATATATATATATATATATATATATATATATATTCCACAGAAATCTTATAATCTTTCTTGAAACTTTTTTTAGTTTTAATTTCAAGTTCAAGCAAATAGATTAAATTTAATATTGAGAAGTGATTACCGAACAACAATCAGCGGGAACAATAATACAGCAACGAGACGTAATTAATCCAACAGAATTTAAATAGCCAAACTTCAAAAGTAAAATAAATAACGACCTACCTTATTAAAATAGTTATTCATAATTAATTAAACATTACTAATTAGGTTTATCGATAGTTTTTCAAGATGAAGATGTGAAATAATTAAATGGTTTATTGTGTAGTTAGGACTAACATTCCGAACAAAAAAAAAATAATCGATAACTCTGTTCCATGTTACTATCAAGGGAATCAATAAATCTCTTTTTTCACAAGAAAAATATTTGTATACCCCGTTAAGACAATCTCACAAAATAATTTATCCTCCAAATATATATATATATTTCTACTTTTCATAGTAAAACTTTGTAAATTATTCTAATTAAATTTTTAAAAAAAATGAAACAATTCTTTTAAAAATTCATTGTACATCGAAAAAAAACTATTTTCTTAAAACAATAGTGTCAATTATATATCTTATAAAAGCAATGAAAAGCTTTTCTAAGTAAATAATGTCTTTTCATTGCATTTTTTATTTTACGATTCAGAGAAGATATTTGGTAATAGTAGTGTTAGTGTTCTACAAAAAAAAATGATGATTTAAATTCTCCAAGGAGATCTACTTTTAACTAATACAAACATTAATTGGCATAAAATTTAATTTCTCGAAATTTCCTAAAATTAAATAAGTGGGCGATAACAGATATAAAAAAATATTTTTACCAAAATTGTCTTAAAAAAAAGCATTTCTAAAATAATTTCATTAATTTCCGTATAAGTCCTGAAAGTTTCATTAAAATCCGACAATTATTTAATTTTTACAAGAATTTCCAAATGAATGTGTTTTTCACCGCAAAAAAGACGCTAAACTTTCCTAGAATAACCTTTGGTCCCGACTTCGCTGACGCCAGAAAAACAATATTTTTAACTAAAATTTCAAACGTTATAAAAAGGATTAAAAAAAATATAATTTAATAACCAAACAATTCTTTGGTGTTTCCTCTTAATAATAACAAAGATATTGACGATATTGATATATATATATATATATATATATATATATATATATATATATATATATATATATTAATCATTCACCCCAAGCAAGGCAATAAAGCCACTAAGACATAGGGGGGTTACTGAGTTTGAAAGAATATAAGAAAAAGAAAATATTATTAAGGAGTAAGAACAGCAAAAGAACAGAAAATACAAGGATGGAAGATAACGATTGACACTGCATTGAAATTTTTGAAGATCAAAGTTGACTGTAAAACAAGAGACCGTAAAAGAGTTCTAGAAGCGAGAAGTGCAAAAAATGAAACTGTTAACATAGAACTTACTGTTACATTAAGGCATTTAAACAATAATATATATATATATATATATATATATATATATATATATATATATACGGGTGAACCAAAAGTAGGTGAAGAGTAGGTTGAGATACATTTCAAGAAATTAATACACAAAGATGCTTGTTCAAAAATGTTTTTCGAAGCGTAGAAGGTAAACTTCTAAGCTGTGTAAATTCTTATGGACAGCAGATTTTGCACCGGCGTTGCTAACATTTTCAGTGCTCTTGTACTGTATTATTGTATACTATAAAAATTTAATTGTATATGTAATAATGGTTTATAAAAATTTTATCCTATTAGTATGTAATCTCAAAATAATTGTTATCATTTACTCTCCACCTACTTTTGGTTAGCCCTCTCTCTCCCCCTCTCTTTCTCTCTCTCTCTCTCTCTATATATATATATATATATATATATATATATATATATATATCCCAACTGGAGACATTTACAAAATTTTAAATCAGGATTTGGTCACTTTTAACGGCTGACAATTTGCGTCATTACCTTCTCTGCCCAAATTAAGTTAAATGTGGAAATGTTTTCCGTAACATGTATTTATAGTGATTTTCTAAGCGAAGTTTAGATGTGGAACAAGGCCGAAAGTATGGAGCACCCAGTGAGGCTCAAACTCATTGCTAAGATGTAATTGATCTATCGAGAGAAGCTTACTAAACATTACATGTTTAGTGAACTCCGCGCCAAAATGTCTATAACTTGTATTTATACACAGAAGGAACGTTGAGGAAAATATTGTTAATTTTTCAAATTTTGAATTTAAGAATGCTCTAAAATATTCTTCAAGTTTTTTTTTTTTATTTTGTTTAGCGGCATATCAACATCTCTCTGGGTTATTTAATGCCGAAATCTAAATATTTTGAACACAATTTTATGGCTTCAATTAAATATATTTTGAGCGTAATTGTATACCATCAACTACACATAAAATGTATTGTTGATTATTTTGCTATAAATATGGATTGTTGATAATTTTTACTATAAATAAGTATTATTGGCAACTTTTGCTATAAATAGGTATTGTTGGTATTTTTTGCTATAAATAGCTATTGTTGGTAATTTTTACCATAAATAGGTATTGCTATCAATTATACTATAAAATGTATTGCTGGTAATTTTTTAATATAAAATGTATTGCTGTTATTTTTTTATAAAACGTATTTTTATACCTTCATAGTGTTTTGTATTTGCTAAAAGGTACACTATTTACCCATAGCTGGGACCCTAACAGGTGTTACCAATCCGGGTAAGGATGGACCTGGGAACAACAGCAACTGAGAGGTGGTTTCACGCTCCTCAAAACCTCAAATCTATCGATCAGAAGCCTTGCTGCCAGATGTAGTTTGTCGTCATACCCAGAACTAGGTAAACTAAGTGATGTAACTTATTGCCTAATAAATGAAAGCGAGTAAATGCTGTCCTTGTAGAATTTTTATTTTATTTTGCAATATAATTATTCTTTATTTCTATGTATTTTATTTTGTTTAATTATATATTTATTTATTCTAATTATCTAAAGATCTTGAGTTAACAGTTTTCTTTTAATTAAAAAAAATATAGTCATGTATGTTGACTTGAGATTTTTAAAAATTCTAAAGAGTTTTCAAATTCAAAATTTTGTGAGCGTTCTAAGTAATATCTGTTTCGATGAACAAATTGTAGTGACAAATGTCTCTCCTAATCATACCTGGTTGTTAAGAATAAATTTGAAGTACGCTAACATACGGCAAAACGTTTAAAAAGGATAAATATCCACATCCTACCCCCAAAGCATGAGTGTGTGATGGGAATGTCATGCTGTTATTCATTTAGAGTTCGTAAAACGCAAAGAAACACTAAATGCTCACTTATCAATCCAGCAGCTGCAATGTATCCATAAATGTTTGGTCAAAACGTACCCAGTGTCGGTCAATATACAAAATGTTGTTCGTCTCCATGGCAACGCAAAGCCGCATACAGTAAGAATGACACAGGGAAAAAATGAAACTCGGTTGATCTGTTTTACACTATCCGCCATGTTCACCTAATCTTGCATCAACCTACTGCCATTGCCGTTTTCGATTGCTTTAATGAGAAAAATTTCTCTAATGAAAACCAGATTCTAGAGTTCGCTAAATACCTTTTCACATAAAAACCTACGGAATTTTACTCAGAAGTTATCGAAGAGCTGCTTGATTGCAAGTCATTGCAAATAATGATGAATATATAATTGAATAAAATGTAATTGTACTTTCATAAATAAATAATTTGATAAAGAAAAACAGGAATTATTTGTGACTCAAATTAATATTTTAATTGTAAGACTGATCGCATTTATTTCTAAGTTTAGCTGAGAAGGGAAAAGGGCCAAATGAGAGAAGACTGTAATACGCCAATCTCTCAACTTGTGGAGAGGGACCAACCTTGAAAATCAGCTTTCGAAATTTCGTTTTTTCTTTTATTCCGATTGGAACACTGATCTCTAGTAACAGTGGGAAATACGTGACTATTTCAACCATAAGACAAGCATTTTAGCGTTTGCGCATTTTCGCTTAAACATTTGTAATCTGTTACTTTTTCTTTTTATACTTCCAACTACAAATGCCTTCATTCGCCAGTGTCTCTGCCTACATCTCTGCGCTAATGCATCTATGCATGTATGCTTGGCTCAATCCAAATGACTGCATGTGGCAGATTGGGTGTTGTCATGTTCCTTCTTCGCTTTAAATATCAAACAACTGCATTGATTCGAGTAAATTCCTCTTTCTCATTTGTTTCTTTCCTTCCTTTCGACTCTTTGTTTTTTTTTTCTTTCTTTTTGTACTGGTTTGTTTCTTTTTTTTTTAATTCTTACTTTCCTTTCTCACTTTTAATTTATCTTTCACCTTTTTTGTCCGTTAATTTCTTAAACTTTCTTTCCTTTCTGGTCTGTTCACTTTTAAGTTTCTTTCTGCTCACCGCCAACTGCAGTTGAATTTCCGTTGGCTTTACAAAATTGCGGTTATTCATTCTTTCTTTACTCTTTGTCTTTATGTGCTCGCCTTTCTCAATTTGCTTTGCTCTCCTTTCTTTTTCTACACGCTTTACTCTGTTCTCTTTTATACTTACTCTCCGTTTTTTTTCTTTCTGTAATCTCCATTATTCTATCCTTGCTCTCCTTTCCATTCTTACATTGTTCCCTTTCTTTGTTTTACAAAGATAAAAGTTTAAAAACAGAAAGAAAAAGCTTTTCTGTCTTTACACCTTTATCTTTGCTCTCTATTTTTTTTATTTTTTGCACTTTATCCTCGCTCTCCTTTTTTGCTATTCCATTTGCTCTCCTTTATTTCTCCGTTCTCTTTTCTTTCGTCTCTATTTCTTTGCTGGCCTACTCTCTTTTCTTTATCATTTGTTCTCTCTTTCCTTCTTTCTTTGTCCTCCTTTATTTCTTTACTCTCTTTTCTTTCGTACCCTGCTCTCTCTCTCTCTCTCTCTCCTACCCTAATTTCATTTCTGCTTTCTTCATTCATTTCACAAAGGTTGCATTATTTCAATCTATTGATATTTACTAAGTTTAATTTTGTACGTACAAGACCAAATAAGAGCAAGAAGATCGTGCTGCGCCAATCTTTCAAAATCTTTCTCTTATGTATCTTAAAATGTGAGTGTTCAAACATCTTCTTTTGCTGGGACATAGACTAGTGGCGGTGATACTAAATATGCAACACTGTCAGCCACCAGCAGACGATGATTAAACTTAGTTTGGTATGAGAGAGAGCCCTACGCCCTGGCTGTTTACGTCATTCTAGGAAACTCTACTCCCAGCCGCACCGTCTGTCCCATTCTGCTAGACGCCCCATCCCAAAATCATGGTAGGGGTATCGGTTTAGTCATCGATGGGCATATTTTTAGTCATCAATGGGCATATTTTTGGCCGAGCCCACGGGCTCGGAATGCCCACGTTAAAAAGGCCTTGTGCCACATGACATCCTCGTGGGGGTGGGTGACTGAATATCGTCATCGATGTCCCTGCCATGCAACAGTTAGTACTGAGTTACATGGTACCTCGTCCAAATGGGAAAAGTAACAGCTTATGCTCTATTAAAGAGAGCACTTTTATTTTTACTATTGTTCACTCGATACAAGGCCCAAGAACCACACAAAGTAGAGGGTTACTGAAGGCGGTTGTTGTGTGAAAGATAACGGTTAACCCTAGGCTTGAAGAGGGTAAGATTGTAATGGTCAAGAAGCATCCTCCTGGATTCTATTCCGCAAAGCAACAGTTCTTGGCAAGAAGCTATCTGAGCGGAACTTATTTCTTACAAATGGAATACGAGGATGGTTCACCTCAATGTACGTAGCATGGAGGGTCTTAGCTCGGAGGGTTAGTGTTGAAGGAACTAAGGAATGTAGCTCGTCTGAACATTTTCCATAGAAATAGTGAGGTTGCAGCGTTTCGTCTGTGGGAAATGGATTTCAAGGTGGAAATAAATTCATCACCCATAAGTCCGTGTAGAGACTTTTGGACTCTATCAAGACTGGAAAGTACTGAAGCTCTAGCCCAGATATGGCAATAGTACTCCATTTACGTCCTGGTATGGCTCTTGTAGAGGTAGAAAAGGAATAGTGAGGTACTTACTGGAGCGGTACATGCAATCGACAATGTTTAATGGTGGATCGTATATACGAGTTCCATTTTAGATATGGGGTGAGCATAAGTCCCAATGGTTAAATAGAAGAAAAATAGCGAAGGAAAGCTGTGTTGCGCCAATCACTCAAATAGAGATGTTTCACCTGTTATCAGAATCAGCATTGGAAATCCTGGCTTTAACTTGAGGTTCGACCTCTGAATTTAACCGCTTTCCTTTATCCACTGATTGTCTTCTCTATTTTTACTCTCTCTTATTTTCCTTCCTCTCATCAACCTACCCCTTGTTCTATCTCTCTCTCTCTCTCTCTCTCTCTCTCATGCCTCCCATTCCTGATTTGTTGCCCGTCTTTTTCTCCTTCTCTTTAACTCTCTTTAAATCCCCCTTCAATTCTTATTTCAACTTCAATTACTTTTTAAACATAGATCTGTTTCACCCCTCTCTCCTCTCGCTCCCCCACTCTCATCTCCCCTCTCTCCACTTTCTTTTTCACCTGAGCTTTGTTTCGAAGAGATCAGTTTCAAAATTGACATGATTGAGGTTAAGACATTTGCGTGATGCGAATGATTCTCTACTCGATGGATAGCTTTGTGTAGGACTTCACCCATATTACTCTTCTAATGCAAAGTTAATTTGATACCGAGGATAAACCAGCACAACTCGCAACTGACATGTAGCCCTGCATATCTATATTATAAGAAAAGAGCTAATTCTCTGTGTGACTTTGCATGTGCAGATGTAATGTATATGCGTATGTCTGTGCTGTGTGTGAGCGACTTACACGTGATTGTGCCATTTAATGTACACACGCACACAAATATCCACATACAATTCGACCGAGTTTAAAATAAGATATTGGAATAGATAACCAGACCTTGAGCTGAACGTTAAAATCATAAAAGTTGGATAAAAAAGAACAATTAAATTTTAAACCTTAAAAAAATCATAATTATATGATTTTATGGAATTTTTGGAAATTACTTTAATTTTTTTTTATTTGTATAAATATTTGTCGTTGAATTAAAATACACATGCTCGTACATTTTTTAATGAGATTGAAATAGATATCTGTGAAGCGAGGACTGATTTCCCCTTCTATCTGGCAACAAATACTGGGTAACAAGAAAAGTCAATAAGCCGAAATATATGGGCTTTTCAAGTAACTTTTATGCTAGTCCAGTTATGTGCCATGCGTGATACACACTTAGGCGATCATGTATCTTTCGATACATGACTAACGAGGCAGATTTTTTCCCCGCAGTAGGTTGCCATTTCTTTCTGCGGTAGACCAGTTGCCATCCAAGGCTATAGAACCCGGTCTGTCCTGCTATTTACCCATAGCTGGGGGGAGAAGAGGAGGATTCATACCTTTTTCAAGGGTATTAGCATGTAAGTGAATATAATGGATTTTACTGGTATTTGAACTCGGCTCTCAGATTCCTCAATCCGAGCCGCTTTCCATTACTCCACCAAACTGTAACACCGGAGAGAGGTAAGCAGGCACCAGACAGGCCCATGTCAGTCAGTTATGTGCCATGCGAGATACACACTTAGGCGATAATGTATCTTTTGATACATGACTGACGAGGCAGATTTTTTCCTGCATTAAGTTGCCATTTCTTTCCGCGGTAGACCAGTTGCCATCCAAGGCTATAGAACCCGGTCTGTCCTGCTATTTACCCATAGCTGGGGGAAGAAGAGGAGGATTCATACCTTTCCCAAGGGTAATGGAAGTGAATGCAATGGATTCGACTGGAATTCCGAATCCTCAATCCGAGCCGCTATCCATTACTCCACCGCAACTTTTATGACTCTTTTATTTAAGCTGAATATATTTTCTAATAAATGTAGTATTTTAAATGGACAAACAATTTAGATTTGAAATTTGATCATCTTGCCGTAAGCGAAGCAAGAGGTGCCGAACTACTAAAAATGAATTAGGTCGTATGGAATGAATTAGGTCACGTTTTTGAAGAATTAATAAAATCCCCTTTGAAATGTGCAAACATTAAATAAATTTGTCAATACTAAAATTATTAAGATGAGTCAGGGCAAAAAGTCCAATATGAAGCTAATTCTTTTATTTTTGGTTAAAAGAATATGGGATTTGGCAAAAAAAAAAAAAAAATCGATGACAATATCTAAGAAAAAAAAATGAAAATAATGGAGAGAAAATAAAACCCCATTGAAATGTAACAAACGTTAATTAAAATTTCAAGTTCATTTTTTCGCAATTTTCAAACCGCCATTTTACACCTGTTAATAAACAATATGGAATGGAAATAAATAATAAAGGCTCAGATCATCGTTGAACTGGAATCCTTTTCCCTCAGATAATCTGGCTCAATGCATCAGCTTATCTTACCGATTAGTTCATCGAGATTTTCTAGTTGCAGTCATTCAAATCTAAACCTATGGCTAATATTTTAAGTATCAATTATAAGAAAACAGAATGAATGATCGTGAGCAGGAGATGCGAACAACGAATTGGATACGTCAAAAGTACATAAGTTTAATTATCTGGGAAGCGTTATAACAGGTAAGGGAAAATGTGCCACTGAAATCCGAATAACGATAGATAACTTCCAAAAGCTAAACAAAGAAACTGGAAAATTTCGTTACAAAGTAATAAAATACTACTGAACTATGTAATACCACTCCTCGCCTGTGAGAGTGGATGCTAGACAATTTCCTTACAGATAAAGAGGAGACTTTGGCTAACAGAGAAGTGGCTCTACAGAAGGATCCTGAGACTACAATGGACGAAAAATATGAGCAATGAGGAAGTTTTAAGGGAAGTAAAGAGACGAAAAGAACATTTATGTTTCAAATTAAAAAAAGAGAGTTAAAATTTCTGGAACACATATTGTGGAAAGGGAGCTTGGAGAATACGACACTCACAGAACAAAATGGAGACAATAGGGATAGAGAGAAACATCGAGCAACTTATATAACGAGCTTTTGTGTACATGAATGACAGAACAGGGATTGGAATGAATAGAAAGGATACAAAAATGTCTTAAACAGGAAGTTATGGAACTAATATATATATATATATATATATATATATATATATATATATATATATATATATATATATATATATATATATCAGCATAGTTGTCATCGAAATAGCGATAGAGTAGTAGGCGAGAAAAAAAGATTAGCCATGAACTGTAATTCTATAGCTATTTCCATGGCAAGTGTTCTGATGAGCTTCATCCCTTAGTTTCTCCAGCTCAGACTTTTATATCTAAGACTCGCAGTGCCATGTACACTTGGACGAATCATTCCAATTCGTATTCCATTAGTAAGGAGGAAGTTCCATTCAAATGGTTTCTTCTCAGGAACCGTTTTTTTGTGGAGGATTTTTTTCCAATCACAATCAATACAAACTTAATCAAGTATAGGGTCAACCGTTATTTATCCTACATATCCTCATAATTTGCACTTCTTGCTCCCATAAAACAATTTTGTTCAGAAACATTTTACATGGAGTGGCTCATGTGATTTTATTGACTGAATAATAACGTAAAAATATTTAATAATATTTTCTCATCCCCCCTTATCCTTTCTAACAAACCAAGATTATCCATTATATCATACCTCTACTCCCCTCTCATTCTTTGACTGTATCTTCTCATTCTGTCCCTTTCCAATACATTTAAGATTATCCATTATATCATGCCTTTACTCCTCACTCATCCGTTGCCCGTATCTTCTCATTCTCTCCCTTATCCATGCCAATACAACTAAGATTATCAGTTATCTTATGCTTCTACTCTTCTGCCATACGTTGTCTGTATTTTCTCAGTCTCTCCCTTATCCTTTCCAATTAAATTAACATTATCCATTATCTCATGCCTTTACTCCTCACTCATCCGTTGCCCGTATCTTCTCATTCTCTCCCTTATCCATTCCAATACAACTAAGATTATCAGTTATCTTATGCTTCTACTCTTCTGCCATACGTTGTCTGTATTTTCTCAGTCTCTCCCTTTATCCTTTCCAATTAAATTAACATTATCCATTATCTCATGCCTTTACTCCTCACTCATCCGTTGCCCGTATCTTCTCATTCTCTCCCTTATCCATTCCAATACAACTAAGATTATCAGTTATCTTATGCTTCTACTCTTCTGTCATACGTTGTCTGTATTTTCTCAGTCTCCCTTATCCTTTCCAATTAAATTAACATTATCCATTATCTCATGCCTTTACTCCCTCACTCATCCGTTGCCCGTATCTTCTCATTCTCTCCCTTATCCATTCCAATACAACTAAGATTATCAGTTATCTTATGCTTCTACTCTTCTGTCATACGTTGTCTGTATTTTCTCAGTCTCTCCTTATCCTTTCCAATTAAATTAACATTATCCATTATCTCATGCCTTTACTCCTCACTCATCCGTTGCCCGTATCTTCTCATTCTCTCCTTATCCATTCCAATACAACTAAGATTATCAGTTATCTTATGCTTCTACTCTTCTGCCATACGTTGTCTGTATTTTCTCAGTCTCTCCTTATCCTTTCCAATTAAATTAACATTATCCATTATCTCATGCCTTTACTCCTCACTCATCCGTTGCCCGTATCTTCTCATTCTCTCCTTATCCATTCCAATACAACTAAGATTATCAGTTATCTTATGCTTCTACTCTTCTGCCATACGTTGTCTGTATTTTCTCAGTCTCTCCCTTATCCTTTCCAATTAAATTAACATTATCCATTATCTCATGCCTTTACTCCTCACTCATCCGTTGCCCGTATCTTCTCATTCTCTCCCTTATCCATTCCAATACAACTAAGATTATCAGTTATCTTATCTTACTCTTCTGTCATACGTTGTCTCAGTCTCTCCTTTCCTTTCCAATTACGTTGTTATCCATTATCTTTTCTCAGTCTCTCATTCTCTCCTTATCCATTCCAATTAAGATTATCAGTTATCTTATTATCATCCGTTGTCTGTATTTTTCAGTCTCTTATCCTTTCCAATTAAATTAACATTATCCATTATCCATGCCTTTACTCCTCACTCATCCGTTGCCCGTATCTTCTCATTCTCTCCCTTATCCATTCCAATACAACTAAGATTATCAGTTATCTTATGCTTCTACTCTTCTGTCATACGTTGTCTGTATTTTCTCAGTCTCTCCTTATCCTTTCCAATTAAATTAACATTATCCATTATCTCATGCCTTTACTCCTCACTCATCCGTTGCCCGTATCTTCTCATTCTCTCCTTATCCATTCCAATACAACTAAGATTATCAGTTATCTTATGCTTCTACTCTTCTGTCATACGTTGTCTGTATTTTCTCAGTCTCTCTATCCTTATCCTTTCCAATTAAATTAACATTATCCATTA